GAACAGTGTATGTTTTCCTAGCTCCTGTGCTCATAGCGTTTCTAAATATTTCCAGGGGTGAAAAGTTAAAGACATAATTTTCCATATCTTGGAGACAAGAAAGTATCTTTCTGTGTATCTGACACAGAAAAGCTGTGATGAGACCAGAAGAATCAAGGGAAGAAAAAGAGCTAGATGTAGGAAAAATAACCTGAAGTTCTTATAATTCTTCATTTTTAATATTAAATATTATGTATGAATAAGTGAAAAGGTAGCAACCTTAAAATGCTAAAGAGTAAAACCAATTTTTTTTTCTAGGAGGCTTCCCCACTTTTACAAAGTTGTTTACCTTAAGCCATTACATAAAATGGCAGTTGTGGCTTATGACCTGATCCTGATCCTGACCTTGGTATACATATTGACTCCTTGGCTTCATCCTTAGGCTAGCCCCATCTGCCCAAAAATAAAAAACACAGGAGCTTGGAGTGAACCCAGAGACAGGGGATCTTCAATTTTCATTTTACTTTAGTTGTCACAGAACAAAATGCATGCAATGTGAAAATGGCTGGGGTTTAGTGTAACAAATAATGCTAATCTTTGTACTGTAGAATGGATATTTAGGGAAATGATTATTGGGCAGAGACCTTTAACTCATGAACTCTTCCAGATGTACTACTAGAAGTTCTTCAGCAAAATCAGTTTCTTCTGATTCCRATAATTTTAAAAATAGGATTAGTCAATTAGGGTAATGCTACTCAACATGACAAATGTAAGAGGATTAAGCCAAGCTTTGTCCATAGATACTAAAAGCATTACATACAGAAACTAAGCATCRCAACAGAGAAAAAGGGAATTTGAAACCAAATTTTGATTCTGTTTTCKGCTTTATTCCTAACACTTCTCTTACTTTCTTAAAGGCAAAGCTTTTTTGATTTCTTATCATGGGACTGCAACAATTTTCCTAATTTTAACCACAATGAAATCAAGACCTTTTGAAACTATTGGAGAGCATCTCAAAACTACCAAGAGCCTAGAAATCATTAATATCACCTGGCAGGAGATGTGAGCTACTCAAATTCAAGTCAAGGTCCGRCTCAACATGCTTATTGATGGTTTTATTGGGGGTGGGGAAGGGAAGTTATTTCCAGCATAGACTTTTCACAAACTGGCATGGGGCAATTATATTCTGCCAAACATTCTCAGCTTGCCTAATTCATGCAATATTTGAAACAATGTATGCTTGGGCTCTTGAAGAGTGAGAARAAGACCAGCTAGATCAGTCTGAAATGAATAGAAGTTGAATGTCTAATATATTATTGTGGGTTTTTTGTGAACATTTCTGTCTTGGTGACCTGAACCTTGAATACAGTTCACAACATAAACAACGAACRAAGTACTTCACTCCTTGTTTCAGTGACTTTGAGAATCACTTTAGGCCTAACTTTTTAAAATTGAAAAGCCACATGGTGGCAGGAGAGAACAAGGCATGTAAAAAACCTTCCCTGCTAAGTGCTTCACTCAGTTTTAACTATGTAATGTTCCTTTACACAGCGCAGCTGAAGGTTTGTGGTTGTATTTTTAAATCTAGCAGGCACTAACATAATTCATTAGTTGCTATGTTTGAAAAAGTGTYCATAACTTCTAAGTTCTTGATACTACCCCCCAAGTTCAGCAGGAATTATACAGCAAATGCTAGTATTACAGTAACTTTTGAAGTTATGTAGTGGAGTTAAGGCATGGAATCTGAAATCTGTTTTCAGATTGTCTACACTGCCTGTATTCCCACTGCATCAGAGATGCAATGACTGGAATTGATCTTCACATGGCTCTTTTCCTATTGTGACTCTTACAGTGACACTACTAAGTTAATGACAGGCCACAAGTACTGCTTCAAATTYACAGTGCTCCAAAAATGAAATATTTAGCTCTTAATTTTTCATGTGATGTGCTGCACCATGAACAGGTCTGCAATGTGAAAAAAAGGATGTTTTTTCAGTTTAAGATCTAGTAAGAGCAGTCTAAATTTCTAATCCTCTGTTTYAAAGCTATGTGAACATATCCTTCACTTTAATTACAATAGACTRTTTGGAGATGTCGTGCTGCAGTTCACACTGTTTTCTAATTAATAGCCAGGGGAAATAGGGATACATTGAGCTGCAAGAACTGTTAGCACCTCAGCAGCTGAAGCAAAAACTGAAGACTAACCCGTTACTTTTGCAATCAAGATATAATTCTGATAGCTGACTTCTATTAGATAAAGAATAAAATTATTTTGAAGTTTAGCTGATGTATAATCAAGATTCCTAATTTAAGATGYGTGACTCTTTAACCTGTGTTTGAAGACCTCCTGACATCTTTTTCATTAATTCCATCATGTACATCACTGACTTTATACATTCCATAAAAATAATTTTCTTCTAATCTKAACATTTCTTAAGCTTACATGTATTTAAAAATGTTGAATCTTACTAAGAACTATGCACATGACTTTTAGCCTAATTGATTTAAGGGGAAAGAAAACACAAAGAAATCCAATAGTATATGATCCTCTTATCTTCATACCTATCAGTCCAAGAACTTTCTTAGGACTGTAAACAGAGTTGTAAAGGTTCTGAAATCCTGGTGTCCCCCATCATAGCCCTGGTCACACCCAGCTCTTATTTCTAACATGAGCAGCATAAGTTACTCACCCTCTCAGAGGACAGGCTTACGTCTCTCTAAACTCCATGTTATTGGATTTTTTTCTTCAACCTACTGACCACCAATGGAGATCACACTCAGAAGATTTCTAATGAAGAACTGTTCTAGTGATTAACTGATCTGACAAGAAAGGATTCACAAAAATCTGAAATTGTCTTGCAACTAAGTAGTTTTCACTTCCCTATCTGTTCTCTTTTCATACTCAGATTTCACGGCTGAACTTCTCAGTTTCATTCTAAGTCCATACGACCCTTAATAACTTTGACTAACTAATAACTCATGCTTTTGCTCTCAAAAACGCCAGTGACTTTTCCTTTCTCTACCTTTTTCCCAATTTAAGCAGAAAAGGGAGGAATACAAGAGCTGTAGACTAACCTGTACAGAAAACCTCCATGACTGTTAAGTGTTCACTAATTCTGCATCTTCTAAAATTCTTTATCAGATTCCTGCTTGAATGTGAAAGAATTTGCATTCCTATGTTGTTTCTGTGCCATCTGTTAGTTTCCAGGTTCTTTTATGCTTTTCACCCAAACACTGCAGGCAAATCTTTCATTTAGTTCCTGTTAATTGTAACCCTAAGAGTTCCAAAACTGCAGTCTTAACTGTCTTCAAAACATCTCTTAACTTTTGCTCTGCTTCTTCCTAGAAAATGTTCTGGTGGTWTAATTTTTCTTTCTTTAGTATAGTGCAGATGCCCTGTTTCTGCTTGCAAATAAGGATCTATAATTTCCTTTGTGCTACTTCTTAAATTACAAGTCTGTAAATATTCAGAWAGTCCTGTTGTTTTAATCCAGATATCTGCTATAACTCTTTTACCCTGATGCTTACACAAACCTTTTGATGTCAACAGGCAACAAAAGGTGAAAGGCTGATGCTTTTTCTTTATGTTCTTTTCTAGCCTTCTCATATATTGCCTGAACAAATTAAAAATTCCTCAGATTTCCTTCAATCCTGTTAATACATCATGAACTCACTTTAAGCAGCATGATCCACAGTAAAGGTGAAAAAATCCTGATGTAAACCCATGGAATGTTTGCAGCAAGTTTCAGGTTGGAAAACAGTGAAATGCTAAGAGATAAATGTTAGAAGATTATTAATTTTTACAAATGTGAGAAATTCAAACTATTTGGTCACCTGCTAGTACTCAGTGTTCTAAGCAGTGTTGCATTGACYCCACATCATGTTCCCTGTACTTCAGTGTAGTCTGAGGTGATTTGACTCAGGTGACTSAAGTGGCCCTCTCTCAGCTCAGCCTTCTGCCTTGCTGTGTCATGAGAAACAGCTGCACACTGAAACCACAGACCAGACTTCATAAACAAGGGTGGAAGGATCAGGAAGTAAGGAAAAAAAAAAGAGGAACTCAAATTACATGAAACCTCAATTTTCTGAGAAGAATTTGAGTGTATCAAGAGCTACAAGGAAGATTGATTTCACCACCAAGTTACTGTTTTGATCTAGCTTGAACAATAGATGAGAGAGCACGTWAGCACTGCTGAAATGTAAATCTGGCCACATTGCGAGGCTTGACGTGTACGTGCTCAAGGAAGCAGCAGTCAGCCAAGTCATCAGCTTGTATTTTTATGCTGACTCTTATGGTCCCAGTTACAAGACTGTTGCGTTGAGAAAAATATTAAATCACTGGGGGTTTTAACTGTGCATACCAACATTTGCAAGAATTAACTCTATTTATGTAAAAGTGATGTTAGTTAAGGTTGCTGTTTTAGCATCTTTTACCACTTCTCCAACAGACTTCAAAAGAAACACACTTCTTACAAGCTGACGACTGGAGGCAGCACCCAAGGCCATTAATGAGAACTTAGGAGGAACAAGCTCTAGCTCCTTGATGGACCACATGTTTTACAAGGTCTTCAGCACTGCAGTTGTGAGTAAAAAGCAGTGGAGAAAATGTGAAAACTAAATATTGAGGTAGAAAATTAATGCACAGACAGATAGAAAGGAAAATACTGGTCAGGCAGCTTGTACTRAAGTTTGTCTGTGTCTTTTCTCATCTTGTGAGTTGTGAAATACTTGACTCCTCACAGCCTAGAAGTTCAGTTGCAGTGCTCATGTACTTATGAGATAGTAAATCTCCTCATCTGTTCTGTGTTTTTGTTGCATAATGAGTGATTCCTATCTCAAGAACATATTGGGAAACACAGCTTCACTTTTTTATGAGCAGATAACTGAAGCAGCTGCTTTTTTGGGAGATAATGTCACATTGCTATGTGAATGTATTATAGGAATTAATAAAGAGCCATTAGAGGGGTGAACAAGGGTGGTAGGTGGATGGGGTAAAGCGTTCCTTACTACATGCTGCAAACAAGATCTTGCTAAAGTTTTCTTTAATTTCAGTGAGGGAGTCSTATTGAAGGAAAACCCTTTGTGCTGTGAACTTTTCTCCTATTCAGGAGAAAAAAATACCTTTAGATAGCAAGCAGGAATAACAAATACATATACAAAGTTTAGAGAAGTATTATTCCATTAACAGCTAAAGGATTTTACTTCCCCAYGTTTATTTCAGTTTACAAACTAAATTAATACAACTCAAATATCCTTCACTGTTACACAATCAGGCTTCAAAAATTAACTTCTAGTTAGTATTTGTAATTACTTTGTAAAGATGAGTAATGTAGATATTTCGCAGCTGTCTAGAATAAGGAATGTGAAATTAAAATATGCTTCTTAATCAGTAGTTATATTAATCTAATTAAAAATTATYGACTTAAAAAGTAACAAAAATAAGCATAAAATGTTATGCACAATTGAAATAAATAAAACTTCATAAGCAAACACTTGATGCCATGCAGTTTTTCACAGTGAGTAGTTTGCATTCACAAAACTAAAGCCCTTGCAAATACTAATTTTATTGGTTTCTTATGACAAAGTCCACTATTCTATAAAAGAAAAAAACCAATGCTTTTATTTGCAAGGTGAAGTTCTTATGATATTAGACACTCTGTACTGCTATCATAATTTTTGTAGGCATAAAAAATAATATCAAGGATCTCTCCTTTCTTCTCACCTGAGCCTCATCTCCAATTCCTCCGTATTTAATAGGCATCTTKGAAGCTTAACTTCTTGGAATCAAAAATCTTAAGGATACTCCAAGTATATATATTTAACACATCCATAGCTTAATTGCCACTGAAGARTGCAATGTGTTTGACACCAAATACAGCATGCAGTCTGCAATGGTTTGCCATACAACACAGTTCTCATACATCCTGCTTCTTCAGGAGGGATGTCACACTTCACATCTCACTTGTTCAAATCTATTACCACAAGATAATGTAGTAAATGAGCTTGTATAAACAACCCTCATAACTTTCAAACCTAAGTAATGAATAAAAATWACTTTAGATTTTCCATTGACCCAGAGGAGTTTTGTGTCATTAGCATACTTTAAAACCACTCTTACCTGTATAAAGAATGTAAAACTTACTAAAACTTTACATTATRTAAGTATTTTTGAAAATGTAACAATTGTTTTTCTGAAGAAAAACTTTGTTTCAAACTTTCAAAGTCTCTCTTTTCCACGCAGTTCTTTTCTGTTTTCTGCACACAGACTTTCTAGAAATCAATGCAAAGTAAAAATCCTGTATTCCTTACAATTTGAGCTTTTAGCCACCTTCCTGAGGTTCTCAGCAACAGTGAAATAGTGCTCATTCCATGATGTGAATACCACCTTATGAAAGGAACCAGGYTGCCAATGCCAATTTTTATAAAACACACAAGAATAAACACCAGAAGACTTTTATCTKTCTCCAGCTTTCCCATGACTGCTCAATAAATGACACTGAGAGTAAGAGGAGAAAGGACTGCTGAAGAAATGACACAGATTATTCACTAAGTTCCTTGTTAGAGATTTTCTGTGCCTACCAAAGAGTCTCGTTGTTTGGCTACAACCAGACTTCTTTTCCTGTCTTCCTCTGTTACAGTCTGACTGATCTGTTCAAACAGCTTTGATATCTTGGCAAACCTCAGGTGGTTCTGAAACCTCCGTGCAGCAAAAGCATAAAGCAGAGGGTTAATACAGCTACTGATGAATACAAGTGCTCCAGAGATGTACACTCCTTTGTCTACAATTTCTTCCAGTGCCAAAGACATCTCCTCATTAGAGAGCTCTGTTTCAATTGAAATAATGTCCAGGATGTTAAAGAGGTGGTGAGGGAACCAGCACAGAATGAACGCCACCACAACGCTGGCAATGAGACGCTCCGATCGCTGCTTGGATTGGTAAGTCATTCTGCTTATTCTTCTTGCAACACACACATAACAGGTGCAAATAATTAAGAAAGGGATTACAAAACCTGCAAGGGTCTCCAGCAGAAGATATGACACTTTCTGTCTGTTAGAAGAGTAGCTGCGACATGTGCATAGAAGTCGACCATTCATTTCTTCGGTCTCTTGAAATGGAATGACAGAAATGCCGAAGGCAATAGACAGGAACCAAATGAGGAACATGATCAAAGAAGCTTTTTCTTTTCTTTTGTATCTTTGCATTGTGAAAGGGTAAAACACAGCCATCAGCCGCTCCAAGCTGAGTGCTGTAATTAGAAATATACTGGCATACATGCTGCAGTAAATAATGAAAACCAGTGTTTTGCAGAAGATGACTCCAAAAACCCACGAGTCAGCAAAGGAGTAAATCCARATTGGCAAAGTGATCAGTACAAGAACATCAGCAATGGCCAGGTTCAAGATCAGGAGCACTGAAAGAGATACTTGCTTCATTTTTGTACAAACAGTCCAGATGACGATGCAGTTTCCAGGGGTGCCAATAATAAATGACAAGCTCAGTATTACGCAGACTACTGACCTCACAATATCCCATGTTGAGTCAATATTGCTTTCCTCAGCTGGACTCATTCTGAAAATTCTTCMGTTCTTGGTTGCTCTATGCTTTGCTTTTAGTCTGAAGGTGTTGGTGAACCACTCAAAACTTCTCTTGTAACTGATGTTCTGAAAGCTAATACAGACTAAGAGCTCACATCCTCAYGCTCTGCAGACGTCTGACCATATATGGCAGTTCCTGTGGTTTAGGAGGATGGGCACTTTTGCATACAAAGCAAAAATAAAAATGCAGTGCAGCACCTACTTTGCTCTCAGTCATACTTCTATCRTGTTTCAGCAGAGTTTAAAGCATGTTGGTAGTTTTCTAAAGTTTCCCTATTTAAAGAAGTTCTKTGTTGATGCTACTGATCTAATCAACTGCTGTCAGGAGACAGAAACCCTTTTTATGCTATTCTGCTCTTGCTCCTGTGAACAACAGCCATTTATTTTACAAAAATGAAAAAAAGGACTGGCAGGTAAACTACAAATGTACATTATGTTTGACATGAATATTAAAGCATAAAAAAATCGTGCTTACTGCCTTCAYGTCATCTTTTTTAATTCAGCAGAAAACAGTCATTCATACTCTAGAAATACACTGGCACAAAGGAAGTCAATATTTGTCCTTTCTATACTGGTGCAATAAAGTGAGTGGGAGCTGTATTTCCAATTCTCTGGTAAATTGAAGTTCTTTACCAAACAATAACCATTGGAATATTCAATCTGGATATAGAGTTATAGGAGGAAATGCTCCATGTCAGAGAGAAAATATATGATTACATTATTGTCCTGCTGTACCACAAATGGGTTATGAGTTTTATGACTTTTCYTAGGAAACTTAATAGTCAGTACAGTATTTAAATCCTAAATGAATCCTAATTCTTCAGAGTCTGGCCAAAGAGTATGAAATTGTTTTGTTATCCTGATCTCAAAACATCTTTTGAAGTTCATTTCTAAAATGTTAAAGGAGGAACTAGAATAGCAGAGCCAACAGAAATGTTCAAGAAGTGAAACTGGAAGAGTTTTTGCCAYAAAGAAAGATTCACAGAAACAAAGGAGTTATTCATAGCTTTCTTACATTTAAGAATGTGATACAGATTATTCCACTAATTTTACAAACCTGGCAAATGTAGTGCATAGTATTAGGTCAAAAGTATTTTTCACCATGGAAAAAGGATTGTAACATCAGCACCCCCAAAGCAGCTTAGCAGGTTTTGCTCTCATAARAGTATAATGAGATCAAAAGCAAATCCAGAATAACCCCATTGAAGTTAAGTATTATATCTTCAAAATACTATTTGTGTAATAAAGATTTTAACTGGGATTTAATCTGATACATGACTCCAGTTCCTTTAATTTTGAAATACATTTAATGAAGATTGGGTAAGGGGAAATCCAAAACAAGTTGTTTATATTCTRAAGGGAACTTCTGAAAACCACTTGTGAAAATTAACTAATGGGAGGAAGTGCTAGGTAGCATCTCTTCTCCTAATGACATAATCTTTACACACATTATTTCTCCAGAATATGTAGACTATTTTTAATTTATTGCCAGTGGCATATCTAGACTGAACTAAGTTGCAGAGTTTTACTGGGAAACAGATAATCAAGGAGAGATATCCAGTACCTCTTGTCACCCAATGATACAGGGACTGGCAGGTTGAGTAAARTCAATCTAGATTATGATTATTGTGTCACACACTGATTATCAAGACTTTGACCTGAATTGCAGAGGGCCCAGGTGACTAAAAGCCTACATAACCAAAGACTCTAGATAGTAAAGAAAGCTACACTGATTATTAGAAATTCTGCTCAACTGAAAGTTGGGATTATTGCGAAAAATTCTGTGCAGCCATAAGCTACTGCTAGAAATTGTAGATAACAGCAAGCTATGCTGATAAGTGAATTTTTATGTCATAATAAAGCTCTAATTGTAGCTACAACTTTGTGGCCAGTCCTCATTCTAGCAACAATCCATAAAAGGATCTGTGTGTTCTGTACCATTGTGACACCTCTGTAAGATTTTCTTCTGTAAAACTTTACTTTTGGTGGAAAAGAGCAGTTGTCTGAACAACCATTGGTATGAGCATAGTTCTAACCCAGTGGTGCATAAATCTGGTTAAATTTCTGAAGCATCTGGCCATAAATTTTTCAGAAACACATCTCCACTTGAGTTGAAGTTTGTTTGCTAGACGGCCTCTGCCTCTGGCTGCCTCTTTCATTTAAACAATAAAACAGATGAATCTCTGATTTGCAGCCATAGTCTGGGATTTCTGTTTCAAAAAAGATCCCAGAGAAATGTTGAAATGCTAAGATTTCCTTGAGTAAGMCTCTGAAGCCAGGCTATTAGACTAAATATCTCAGACATTGGAGTTAACATTAACCCAGCAGCATGCATGTTTGTGAGCAGCTCTATGTGACTGTTGGACCACTATGAAAACTTCAGACTGTAAGCTGTCTTTAATATTCTCTGAAAGTATCTGACTGTTATTTATCAAATTTACATTAATAGTACACAAACTTTATGGGAAATTCAGCAAATATTTCCATTAACATGGGGAGCAATGAGGTGCAGTCAATAACATGCTGAACACAACAGTGGCTGAACAATTCAGTATGTTACTCACTCTAGTGACCACATGGGTGGGACTTTAATGTGGACTTTGGATCACAGAAGCTCTGGTCTCCTTCATGACAACAGTGAAATTAAGCTGCATCTGTGTGTTCAAAAAAAAACTAAATTAAGTTTTTTGTGTGCGTGCATATTATATGTAGTGCAACACTCAGCCATCAATACAGGAAACTTTCTGTAAGTCTGCTGCCTTTAGATTGGCAAATAACTTCTGAAAACTTTCCATGCTCAAAAAGTCAGTGCTACTGCTATGAAACTTTGAATAGAATTTGCTTCAGCTTTAGTATCAGGTGTGCATTTCTCTCATCCTTCAAATTATTTATTTTACTCTGAATGAGTGCATGAGCTTCCCTCTGGTGGATGCTCTGTAATTTGCACTAGCACTGAGCATTTTCAAAGAACTATGTCGGTGCCCCTAAATGTAAATTATAATTGATATTTCCACCTTTTGCATATTTATTTATTGAGAATCAGAGTTTCACTTCAAAAAACTGAGTCTGTGGGCTAAGAGCCTCTGCTCAAAATGTATCCATCCCTCCATGTAAGGATTTACAGGGTAGCTGATGCATGGCAAATTCAGAATGTGGATCTTGTACCTAGAACTCTACCAAGAAGACTTTAAAAATATCCTTTGAATTTTGTCTTCAGAAGAATCCCCTGGGTGTTTGTCTAATAAGTGATGGTAAAATAATGATTAACAAGTATCACATATCTGCTGAGACACTGCAAATTGATATTATAACCTCATTTGTCTGTTAATGTGCTAGGGAAGAAGTTATTGGTCTGAACCCCTCAGTTCTTCAGACATTGAATCAAGGTGTATTTGCAGGATTTGTTCAAATGTCTTGTAACAAACTCAACTCCAGGCTACTGAGGACAGTGTGAAAATGCMACATTTTGCCTTGATCAGAGAACTATGGGCTGATCTAAATGTTGCTTTCTTGATTTCAAGAGGGTCCCCTATCCAAGTGGGATTTCATGTAGGTGTGCAGCAGCTTATAAAGGCTCTGCTCTGCAATTATTGCAGAGGGAAGTGCAGTGTAGGAAATTTCTAAGGTCTTGCAAAAACTGTTTGTGAGAGCAGCCCATGGGGTAGCAAGTACAAATAAGAACACTCACAGTGCTGTTTTATCAGAGAGAAAATAACTTAGGGAAGAACTTGGGATCTGTTCCAGAATGTAATAAAAGATGTGTACTTTGCACTATAAAGTTCGAAATATTCTGTTCTGTGTGCATTGTTGTTAATCAGTATTCTAATGTTATTTAAAAATTGTATCCCTTACCTAGCTCAGTGCCAAAWAACAATAGTTTTGTATGACTGGCTAGAGAAAAGATTTCCTGTTTGTTGTGTTCAGGGAAAACTGCTTTAGGACTTGGGGCAGGGTAGTGCTTCCAAGGCACCTGTTGTGTGTACATCAGACATGCTCACATACTGGTGAGTATGTGCCTYGCCCTAACGGGCTGATCACTGACAATCAGAACATGCTTCCATGGTGAAAACYATGGAGAAACATTTTCCTTTTACARACATACCAGATGCATTAGATTAGTGGTGTTAATTAAGATAGTGGAGAACTGTATTCATAATTCTGACTATRAGCAGGAATATGAATAACAACTCTGCAGAGATTATGGAAAAACTTATAGATACATTCTCTTGACATTATGAATGCACATAGTTTTAGGGTCCTGTCTCAGTACAAGCTTATAAACAGTAAATGTATAATTTGCTAAAATTTAAGGCAAAACTTTGGCCCCTTCTGAATCAGCTACCACTAAGCAGTTATTGGTACACAAATTGTTCCTAGCCAAAATCCTTAACTATACAAGCATATCTGGCACCACAGTTGCTACTGGGTAAATCAAATACACTGTTTACATGCTCTTCCTTTTGAGTAGTACGTTACAGATGACAAATACTGCTTGGATGATTTGCTGCCAAATATTACTTGATTTAAAAAAAAATTGTTTAGCTAAACCTACTGGCATTTCTACCTTGTTCAGTGGGGTTGCATGCAAATATTATTTTGCTATGATCAATGTCTCTTTTTTCTATGAGCAGCAGCAGCAGACGGCGGCTGTTCTGCCCTCGTGGAAGGGGCTGTCGGTGCACTTYTGTGTTTGCAACACAGGGCGGCACTGGAAACCATCTCTGGGTTTTGGCTGAGCCTGCAGGCCCTGAGGTGCTGCCTTTCTCTGTACCGGGGGCACGGCGTTCAAGGCCATGGCTCTCCACAGAACTGATTTGTTTGCATAAGAAGGTTTTGTGACTGTGATTAAAATTTCAATAAAAATCACAATGTCTTTTTTTTGTCTTGTACATCACATTATTTAATAATACTAAATACTCATATCTAGCTCTCTCAGTTCTGTTTTGATACATATGCATTTTCCAATGCTACATTTTGGTTTAACTGATACAGTAAGAACAGCTCATTCTGTGACAAAAAATAATGTWAATTTTAATTAAATAATTGTAATTTTTTACAATTGTAATTGTAAGGCCTCTGGAGGAACAAAGTTTGAAAAGTTTGGTAATTATATTAACAATTGGTCCATCAGTGTAGTTTCCATTATCGTGTTGTTTTTGAAAAGCAGATTGAATTGTGATWTCTCAGGGTTGTGAAACAAACCCATTCAGCAGATTTGAGCACCTTTGAAGACTTATTTAATTCCTTTATTAMACAAGCATTAAGCTTGGGTCCCAGTGTGACATGAAGTTTTGATTTTGTGGCCTTGTATCAGGAGGCTGGTTAATTCTGCAGAAATCAGAAAGACTGTACTGATTCYATRGGGAATACAAAGATCTTTCTCCTGCCCTGTAGCAGCCACCATGTGTGTCAGGAATGCCTGTTCCCTCAGTCACTTAGTAATTAACATACCTGACATTCTGTTCTGCATCGCCAGAGAAATGAGCACTCTGTGCCACGCTGCTCTYCAGAATGGTCTTGTCCAAATATTCTTCATCTGAAACAAAAAGTAGTCAGCATTGATTCTGAGATGCTACACAGAGCTACACTAACAGCTATTCAGTAAACATACACATATATATTGCATAGAAAAAGTGTAAGACATGCAATCTTCAGGTACAGGTAATTTTTTTATCATTCTGTAATGTGATCCATTGTTTCTGTAGAACTTTCACATAATATTAGAAATTACTGGGAACAGTGATAACTTCTCCATTAAATGAAGCAAGTTTTTTTCAATGGCAGAAAGTGGTAGCACCATTTTCTTAGTTAAAAAAATGTAATTATTTATGGAATGTAAAGCTACTAGGCCCTGAAATAATCTGATATAAATGTCATACTTGTACAATATTAGACTTATGAGCCTAACATGATCTGGTTTTAGGCAGATTTATTTCYTATGCTCTAGTGTTGAGACAGAACAAAAAGTATTTTTATCCCAGTGTCTTGTCTCTGGTAGCAGCCATAAGCAGGTGCTTAGGGAATAATATAAGGACAAGCCATATGTATGTCTATATTTGCCCCACACATTCTCTGTCATTCAGTCAGTTACAGCTGAGGAGTTTCCTGAATCAGGCATGGTTTCTGTGTATTTAATAAAGCTTGGTGGATATTTATTCTGTGGACCTCCTAAACCTGTCCTTGAACTCATGCGAACTTTTAGCACTACTGTTTTGATCCATGCTATGTAAAGAACCACCTCCTTTTATCAGTTTGCTGGCCTCCTGTTGGCTTCAGCTTGCTCCCCACAGTTCATACGTTGGAAAAACAGCAAACAGCACATCTGTGTTCATCCTTTCCATAGTCCTTCCTTGATTTAACCCTACATCTGTCAGTCACTTCTAGTTGCAGACTGAAGAGTTCTTCCATATATAAATACATCTATATACCTTCCCATAGCMTGTACAGAAATTGTCCCATGCTTTTCCTCATCCCTTCATTCTTCTCATTGTCTCCTTATTAAGTTGTAGATGTTTTTTTCAGAGAGAGAAATAAGAGTTCCTCTAGTTCTGAAAGCTCAGTAGTTCAATTAAACCACAGGGTGCTGATGAGGGAAAATGAAAGAAATCAAGACACACAAAGGTCGAAGTTCCCTCATCTCCAGTCTGTCTCACTCTGCTGCAGTGTAACAGGGCTGGCTATACTGCACTCAAACATGCTCTTTTTGTTTCTTTTTTTTCTTTTTTTTTTTTTTTTCCCTAATTGGGTATTAGTTTAGTTTACATTCAAACCACAAAAATAATAATTAGCTTTTGTCTTTCTCAATGCCAGTCTGTGCTCTAGGATTTAGAAGAAGTTGTTCCAAAGGTCAATGTGTCATTCTTCCTTCATTTACTCCAGATGCTCCACAATCATAGAAATCCTCATGTGATGCAATTACCTTGTAATCCTTAAACCATAGGTTATCCTCTTTGTGTCTCTGCCGTGTGTCCTACTCTGTGCTTAAATCACTAAAAGTCAAGTGTAATTTAAAATTGCCATTATTTRGTACTATATGAAAGGCAGCTTTAATTGCATCTGTTACTTTTTTCTTGGTCACTTTGTGACTTGTTATGCCTGGCTGTGTGGGAAACATTTAAACCTTTATGG